GCTACAGAGCAGAAGTCACGACACCTACTTAAGAATTAGAAATGAGAATTTTACTTCAGTGGSCAAAGAGGGAAATGTAAATCTTTATCAAAAGATTGTGCATGGTAAAGTCCATGGGGGGTGATGTGGGTTTTGGGTACATAATTAGAGTCAGAAGTCTCACTTCAGGGACTTTTTTTTATTTTTAGAGAAAATGTTAACACAGAAATAAAACTGATATTAAATTAAGAAAAACCTCAACAACTTTATTTGAGGTGGGTGGAATCTTGGAGACTAATAGCATATAATGGTATGTTAGACACATGAAGATTGTGTAGTATAGATTCCTATTTCTCTAAGACCAAATCCCATAAAACCGCAGACTGAGAGGTAAATTCAACTCACATTTGCTGTTTCACACATTGAAACTGTAAATAGAAGAGTGTTACATTTAGATCTGGGCTAAAGCATATAGTTGTACTTCACATTTTACAAGGGATGACCTACACTAGACTGCTTGCCTAGCTGTGGAAGATATGTCTTATCAGAGCATATTTCGGGTAAGGATTACCCTGTATTTGTTCTGACAAGTCAGGTGTTCCACAAGCTAAGGACTCACCAATTCTATTGTCTTAGCTTCCAGAAATCAGATTTTTACTCCAAAGCTACGTCTGCACCATTATGTTTGGTTTAGGTGTACAGGTGAACTTATTTTCCATTTTTGAAATTTTAAATCCATGTTTATTGTCAGCTTTCTGCAATTCCATTGTGATGGTGTTGGATTTTCTCTTTTTTTAACCTATTGATTTAATTGGTGCTTTTTAAAAAGTCTGTAAGAGGTAAAACACCCTGCATTATTGCGCAAAACCTTGAGGCTAGGCTTCAGGAAGAAAAAAGTSAACATTGGGAGACMTTTGGGAGTAAAATAATTTACAATRGATGTAAAATAGATGCAATAGATATCTACAGGCTTTAGACAGAAAACTAAAACTAAACTAAACAAAATACCATGATGTGTTCAGCAAAGAACAGTCCTTCAGACGCTGATGGTTTTATACAAAAACATTAGYAGTTAAGCAATATACAGGAGGCAGAATCACATTTGGGAGGGAGAAAAAAAAAATTGAGATAGTTCTCTTCTTTGGAAGAGAATGAGAGTTTGCAAACAAGTTCTTCACTTCTGTGCAGGGTGGCTGCAGTTCAGCACAGATTCACTTGTCCAAATAACTGCTGTATCTGATACCCCACATGCAGATAAAGCTTTATGATTTCCATATTTTGKATGTCTGCAAAGTCTCGGCAACTCRTAAGTTTACTTGAGTGATTGTAAATGATTTGCAGCATGTCAGTGAACTAAGTTAATAGTGCAGTTTGTAACGATGTTGTAGGTGCTACTTCTAGCACTGTTTGGATTAAACACATGCCAGTATAGCAGTAGTCTTTACAGGACTTAAAATACTGCTTATATTGGAACTTGAAGCTTTGCTGCACTAATGGATTTTGATGGAAGTTAAGAAAAATACTATCCTATAAGAATATTTAAGTGAGATGAAATCATCTCTGTTTTCTCAATCAAACTGGTCATGAGCTAATACCTTGAGAGTGACCCTTAATGTGCACTTTCAAAAAGCAGTGAAAAGTAAATATGCATAGAAACTTAACATCAGGTGAAGCTTTCTGAGTGGCAGTTGCCAGCAAGTTCCCAGGTTCATATTTTTGTAAGAAATGCAAATACCAACATTTACTTTCAAAATTGTKCTCTAGAGACTATACTACTATTATTGTGGCTTTTTTTTCTGAGTGTTTGGTTTGCCTGTTCTTTGTTTTCCTGGTTATAATGACAATAGTCATAGAAAAGATACTGAATATCAAGCTRCTAATGGAATGGTAATTTTATCTTWWCAGAGAGTTTTGAATGCTTCATTAGTAAATGGATTTAGTGTAACTGCAATGCTCATGTGTTGAAGATAGTTCAAATTTAAATGATCCTAGAGACTGAGCTGTAGCAAATATCTTTTCAAATAAATATTTTAGCAYCCCAGGAAAACCTTCCAAACATCTTCATCTAACTAAATATTGTCCTATAACTTTGAAATTAAGCAAATATGGCATGTGTTGGTCATTTCCTATGCAATCTCTCCTTCAGAGGGCAGCTGCCCCTAAAATGTTTATGTGAAGCAACCAGACATAACCCATAATGTCAGAACCCAGCTTTGCACATGGTAGAAGTGATTTCAGATGTGAACATTCACTCAGATTTATCTATTGATATGAGATCCACTCAGATGGCTGTGATAATAAAAAAAATTCTTTACAGATGAAACTGAAAAATACCAAATAATTGAACCTTACATGTTTTCCAAATAAGTTGCAACTGAATCAGAATGAGTGGAGTGCACGTTGGGATAGAAGGTGTTCGGGAGAGGTGGAGTAAAGATGAGTGGAATGAAAAACTCACGTGAAGGTACAAGTCAGGTGCAGGGTGTGACTGTGGTTTCTTAATAGTCTTGAAAACAAGGAAGTTGTATACCTTAAGCATCAAGAAGTGCCTGAGATTTTTTCACNATTTTTTCACGATAATCCCCTGGGTGGGTTGGGTTGGCTTCTTGCTTCTTCCTTTTTTTTTTTTTTTTCCTTAATACTAGTATCATGGAGGCTTTGTGAAAGAAACAAACTAGGTGAAGACATAATAAAGATTAGGTCATTGGTTATCATTGAAATAAAATGTATGAAACAAATGAGAATGAAATAATACTCAGTTTCTGAAGATCAAAACCCAAATTCTRGTAACAAATTTCATTTTTGGCCTGATACACACTGGGCAGAGAGATTCTTYAATCCAGTCTAAACTGAAATTTCAGAACATAGGAACATGGAAGTSTATTTCTCATAATTCAATTATGATTTTTTTTGTAAATGTGAAAAATGTTTCTCAGATTTATAATAAGCAGTTTGTGGGTTGTAATGTGATGATGAAGCAACTCATGAATTTTAAATTGAAGTGGAAGTTGGATCTACTGTTAACCCCTAAATTATGAAGAGGTTCCTAAGAGTTTCTAAACTTAAACATGTACTTRCAAATTTAAAATTTTGCAATTTGATCTGTAATTCCTTATCTTAGATAAACAATATTTGAATACTATTATGTAAATAATATGGGCTATTTAAATATGTGTCACTGTAAATCAAGCAAATAATTTTTGTTTTTCCAGATAGTTTCCTGTTCCAGCCAATAGTCCTTAGCCCCCTTTAGTAGTTAGGGCATGCACTTGGATGTTGAGGACACAAATCACACCCCGATCTCAAGAGTGAATCCTGAATATGGACATAGTTCTAGATTGTAGAAAGACTATTCATTGAATGCTTGGAGAATAATATTTCACAATATGGCATTGGCTTTGGTAGCTCAGCATTTTTCTATGTTGTTATGGGAGGAAAGTACAAGTCTGAATGCTCCTGTGACAATGTGAGCTGCTGGTGACTTTTTGCTGCCATACTTGAAATACAGAATCCATTTTTTTGTCTTGCAATGGACGAGGTTTATGTGGATTCAGACCRTCTCATGTAGATTGAACAGATTCCCTGGAAAACACATCCAGAAGAGATCCCCTTTTAGAGGACCAAAGAAAACCTCCAAAACAGCATAAGAACAAAYAAAACTTTGACTATACTTAAGCATTCCTTCGTGAATTAGCTGTGCATTAAAGCAGTAGTATTCCACAGAGACGAGATAATTGTCATGGATTTTAATGAAAGTAATGGAGTTTTAAAATGGTTGTTGCTTATCAAAAGACTGAATGCTTTTTGTCATTTATAAAGGCAAAGRAAGGTGAAGGAAAACTGCCAATAGTCGCAAGGAAGAATTGTTTGAAATAAGTGTTTTGCTTACTGGTCTGTTGCCAATAGCAAGACAGTTTTTAATTCATTCGTACACTTTTGCTAACATTTCCTGTAAGAAGGAGTTGAGGTTTAGAATTAGTGGGGAAAAGTAAATGAGACTTTCTTCTGATTTAAAGCATTACTAAGGACTTTTTTTTTTGTTGCCAGGCAAATGTGTGAGGCAGCTGTTTTTGTTTACCTAAGAAAACAGTTTTCTTGAAAAAAAAATGAATTGTTATGAAAATGCATTTCGGACAATTGGGAGTTTTTTTACTAAAACCAAACACGTTGTTTTTAAAGTTATGGTTAAGAAGAAAATTATTTATCTTTTAAAATGGCAGCACAGAAATAAATGCATTGTTTCACATTGTTCAGCATGAACTCTTTTCTAGATCTAGGAATCAATGAAAATTTAGAAGTTTTGGTGCTGATTTCTATTATATTTGGATGTCCACATCCACAATATTCAATTTAATCTTTTTCTTTGCTGAMAGCTGATTTCATTGAAAGTATTCTATTTCAATACAATAATGACAGGCTCTTTCTAACAATGTYATTCAGAATTAAACAATAAACTAAACTAGCCTAAATCATTAAGTTACAGCCTCCTTCTATTTGTCCTTTTTGGCTGTGTTGGTTGCACCTGGTAAGCTTGTATTTCAGCAAGTTTAGTATAAAACTGCTTCTCCACTCTGCTTAAAGGACTTTTTTTTTTGCACTGTCCCAACTTCTTCATTGGTTTCTGTCAGAAAGTCCACATCAATCCATGCAAAATTTACTTAATTTCTTTGAAAACAGGATAAATAAGTCGGAGAAAAACAAGTTTTAAGGAAATAATTAGTCTGTCCTTCAGCTTGGTTTACTTAAGAACTATTGTTAGTGCAATAATTTAAGCAGTTCATGCTACCTTGCCAGTTATTTKGGAATTTCATAGATGGGGAGTTTCACTCTTAAAGAGGGCAAATAAAACATTATATTCAAATAGTAACACAGTTAGCCAAAATTTYGCTTTAAATGAAGGAGTCCTTTAATGGTTCAAATATACTTTTTTTAGTCTTCTTATTTTTGGAACATTTATACACAGAAGTAATTTTGTCATGTTAGAAAACATAGTATTCATCCTGTTTTTCTCTTGCCTGCAGGGCAGCACAACTATTTATGTGCTGGAAGAAATGACTGCATAGTCGATAAAATCCGTAGGAAGAACTGCCCAGCATGTCGCTTGAGGAAGTGCTGTCAAGCTGGTATGGTCCTGGGAGGTGAGCTGCTTTTCAAATGGATTTATGAAAACAGGCAGTCAAGTACACTACCTTCCGTTTGTCAAGGTTAAACAGAATTGCTTTGATACTATAGAAGAAATAACCACATTCAAATGTTATTTTTGGAAGAATTACCTAATCTTTTATAATTTCTTAGAATTTTTCCTTAATGAGTCTGAAAACCCTGAAACAAAAATAATCTTTCTTTAGGATTCTCTTTGTACTCCTACACTCATTTTCTGCAAGGTCTTTGGTGYGTATTTATTACAAATTGTGGATCAGAAAAGTTGATTTAGGTAAAAAATAAAGAAGCAGATTGAAATTGACACTGAAAGCAAGAATCAGTACTGTCCCCTTCTCTTTTCTGTTATGCCCACCATCTTTGCTTTGAGTACATGTCAGCAAAATTGTGTCCTGTTCCACCAGAGAGGGACACAAATGCATCAATACTGCAAGCTTTGCATACTAGATGCTGGGAAATCCCATCTTTGTATTAGTTCTTGCGGTAACAGATTTGGATTTTTTTTTACGTGTCATTAATCAAAACTGAGCATTGTGCCTTTTAAAACCCAGAGGTAGAAAATGGTGTAAGATCAGTTAGTCACATGACAAGTTCTTCTGTACTAACAGGCAGGAATGATGCATATTTTTCCTGTATTTTTTTCCTGTATTTTTTKGATCATCACAAAGCTTGAAAATACATGGCTAAGCCKATTAGGAAATGGCTATGTAGAAATGATAGAATATGTTCCCAAAGAGAGTGAAAAAAAAAGGACAAAAACCTGCTTTATTTTCAATCTAATCTATTTTAGCACATCAAAGCCCTCTGTCTGTCTGCCTCTCTCTTCCCTCCTTCTTTCCTACATTCCCTTCCCCACATTGTTTTTATCCCTGAAGGGAGAGCTGAGACTATATACTGTGCACCATTTCCTTATCTTGCTAACCAGCATTCATTCGTAGTTTAAAACATGTATATAGTTTTCAGGCTGATAGTTTGATTGCACAGCTCTGTGTTTCTAGCTCCTGTAAACTGAATGCAAGCTCCATGGAGCTGGCACACACATGGCCATTGTGTCATTCTCACATGGTCAGTCAGTGCCACCTCTCAGTAAAAAAAAAAAAAAAATTGAGCTTGCAAACTCGGTGGCACTGGGCTGAAGGGAGAGGGACAAAAGGAGAAGAACATGTCCTGTGGATCCTTCTCAGACCGAAGTTGTATTTTAAAGTTGGAGTAGCAGTCCAGTGGAGAARCATTATTACTGCAAAGGCAGAAGCTAAAGCACTGTTTGCCTGACTTTGGAAGAGGAAAAAGCCAAGGAAGCAGAGGTCCAGAGTAGGCTGTGGAAAGTACATTGTAAGAATAAAGACTTAGGAGAAGTCAGGCAGGCAGAAATAGTGCCTCTCTTTTAAAATTTGTGAGAGCATGCAAGGTTTGATCAACTTGATCTCTAAAATTTATAGCTGCCTGAGGCAGGGGGCTTAGCCTAGATGATCTGTAGATCCCTTCCAGTCCAAACCATTCTGTGATTCTAATGGGTATAAATTGATACAGATAAAAATGCATTCCTGGCTGTGAATTTTGCGCAGCTGAGAGTGTGATGATCTAACTTCAATTTTCATTTACAATACTCTGGATAACACCAATAACTAAACCCCATGTGTTTTAATGTCACAGGCAGCAGATCAACAATCAGAAGAGTGTGACTCACTATCATTGTCTAGTCCTTTTGTTTCAGTGTTGTTCTGCAAAGAAATTCTACACAGGAAAAATCACCAGCAGGCTTAACTTCATTCTACATTTTGTATGCATTTATGGATGCTAGTTTTTCTAGTGTTTTTAATATATAAATTTTGCTGCGGGTGCAGGTACTTGAAACAGAAAAAGTTGGACACTTTTGCCAGCAATATTGATGAGATGGTGTGTCCTCATTAGTGTATACTTGTATCAGGATGTTACATCCTCCTACAAAACCTGAGGATAAAGATGCTCTGACTTTTATTTTATTACTATCCGACATGAAGAGAGTAAAATCTTCATCTTTCTCATCACCTTTTCAGATTGCCTTTTTTATATTTTTTTAATTACAAAGCAAGTATATTTTCTTTGTATTTAATCCTAGACTGTTTTATCTAGCCAGTTTGTTGTGTTAGTCTTCTCCTAAGTATACCTAATCAAAACTGCTATTTTTGGGGAAGCCTGTGCAGTCTAGTTTCTCAAGTTCCTAGAGGGACATGGCATCTTGTCAGATCGTTGTCCTGACATCCCCATCTACACCATCTTCTGGAAAGAAATAATCTGGCAGCAAATAGAAAGCAGAAGAGAACATTTAGGTAGTGGAAAAATGGAAATACTGAGTGGAGCTTTGACTGTGGAATCCTTTTTTTTTTTTTTCCCACCTGCCTTAGGTTAAGTGTAGTATTTTAGGGGCTCTTAGTGATGTCAACAGTTCTGGGGAAACAGGAAGCTAATTGTTTTATGCAGGCTGAAATAGAATGCTTAATACTGAAAGAAAAAGAAAAAGTGAATATAGACAAATGAGGAAAACATGAGGAAAACTGGAGTAAAATTACACTATTTGTAAATGAAGAWTTTAAATTCAAATTGCAAATAAAATCTCAAGATAAACTGCTAACCATTCTTTTTCTATGCATATTGTTACCCTTCTTCCTATTGCTCATCCGCCATTTCTTATTATTCCTTTGTTGTATCACATGAGCAGTACTATCCATGGCATGATGTGCTGATCAACACAATATGATTCATATATGAGGCGCTACTGGACTTGGATAATTTCCCCAAAGAAATGAGTGATCAAAGGGCTGGGAAGCCTGCCATGTGAGGAAAGGCTAAACATGAGCCAGCAGTGTGCCCAGGTGGCCAAGAAGGGCAATGGCATCCTGGCCTGGATCAAGAATAGTGTTGCAACCAGGATTAGGGCAGTGATTGATTGTCCCTCTGTACTTGGCACTGGAGAGGCCACACCTTGAATCCCGTGTGCAGTTCTGGGGCTCTCACTTCATGAATGGCATTGAGGTGCTGCAACACGTCCAGAGAAGGGCAACGGAGCTGGGGAAGGGTCTGGAACATAAACSTACGAGGAGCAGCTGAGGGAGCTGGGGSTGTTTAGCCTGGAGAAAGGAGACGTAGGAGGAACCTTGTTACTTACTCTCTACAACTGCCTGAAAGAAGGGTGTAGCAAGATGGGGATCAGCCTCTTTTCCCAGGGACTGGGTGGCAGGATGAGAGGACATAGCCTCAAGCTGTGCCAGGGGAGATTCAAGCTGGATGGACATCAGGAGGAAATTCTTCACAGACATGGCTGTTAAACTCTGGAATGGGCTGCCCAGGGAGGTGGTAGAATCGCCATTCCTGGAGGTGATTAAAGAAAGACTGGACGTGACATTTAGTGTTCTAGTTGACAAGGTGGTGATGAGTCAAAATTTGGACACGATCTTGGAGGTCTTTTCCAACCTAAACAATTCTGTGGTTCTCTGATTCTGTGAAGTGGGTTTGTCTGCCTTAAAAAAAAAAAAAAAAGAAGGCCTAGGGGACACATTATCACCTTGTTCCACTATTTAAAGGAGGACTGCAAAGAAGATGAAAACTCTCTTTTTGCAAGCAGTCACCAGGAAAAGACAGTGACAATCAGTACGGGTTACTCGTGGGAAGATTCTGATTAAACACTAGAGGAAAATCTTTCTCAATGAGAAAAATCAGCCATTGGCATAATCTCCTAAGAGAAGTGGTGGATTCCTCACTGTTGAACACTTCTGAAATTCAGCTGGACAAGGTGGTGGGTCGTCTTGATTAGACTCTCTTGGCTTTTGCCAAAAAAGGTTGGACTGGAGAGTCATTGAGGTCCTTCCCATCCTGGTATTCTGTGATTCTCTGATAAATGTCCATATGCAAATTTCCAATTCTTTGAACAAATTTCATACGTAGARTATACATCCTTGAGTATTTTAAATTAATCAGAACCATCAATACTTTAAATCTCATGTTTATGGCCTGTATAGGTCAACATTTTTTGTGCATTTTATGATTTCTGCCATTTAAAACTTACACAGATGTATTTTTGTTCTTTAACCTTCAGTACTTAGTTTCTTAATCTGGCCTCGAGTTAAATGCAGACTTGCTATATTGCATAATTAACATGAGAAACACTTAAGATTTTACAGGATGTTAATGATCAGATTCTGAGAATTACTTTTTTAATTAAACTTCTTTGGGAAGTACACCTGTCTTCCACTGACAGGTTACTGAGTGGCAACCGTATAGACAGAGTGTAAGACATGGCCAACAGATCCATTTCTCAACCTAATTTCAGAGCAGTAAACTACTGAATTATGCTAAAGGAAATTTTAAGTCACTTGTAAGTTAATTATCAATTTGCAACAAATAGCTTTAGTAACTGATTTCCCTATATGGACAGTTTCTTCTTTCTTAATCTATAGAAGGGAAGTATCAGTAAATAACATGCATTTCATAATATCCTATTTGTCATTCTCCATGAAAGTATTAATTGTCTTTGAGTTTTATAACCTCATGGCTTGGGATATTAATCTGTCCCTTTCTAGTCTTAAACCTAATAGGATAGCAGGTACCTGGATCAGGTCCTGGAATAAACAAATACTCAACTYTTATTTATTATGAGTGAATCTGTAATTTTCCCAGGGTGATTATCACAGATTCCTTGTTCAGCTATACTGCTAAATTATTGTGGTCTTCATTGTTTCAGTCAGCTTTTGGTCCACAGTGATTACATGCAGAAAAATGGTAATTAGTTTTCCAGGTAATATTTTCTGAGGTAGGATCAAAGGGTTTATTAAAACCAAGATGTGTTGCTTCTGCTTTGCTGCTTTGTTTCTTTATGTTGCATGCACACCCCTAAGGTGTACTCAGCCTGGTTTTTTACACAAAACACAAGAGCATTGTGACCTTAAAGTCGGGACCATAGTGTTCTGTCAGGAATAATGCATCACTGATGCTTTTCACCTCATTACAGGGTAAGGAGAAGGATAGTGAGATGTTATAGACTTTTACTAGAAACCCAGCCATTTTAATATAAAATGTCAACCATCAAGTATGATTCTGTATACCTATTAAAAATAGTRAAATACAGAATTAGATAGTAAGGAGAATTTGATAGTAAGAGTAAATAGATTTTTTGTGCTTTCTAGGTACATGTAGTATCCAAACATACTTTTCGTAGTAATCAAGTACTAAGAAACTGCTTGGTTGGGAATCTTAAAATGAAATAATGAAATGTTACAAAAAAGTGTGTGCTGTCTAAATATGCACAGACAGCTTATAGTATTGAGGAAAGTAGTTGCTAGAGTGGATTAGTATTATTTACCTATTATGGGACTAAGTGGACATGTTTATTTGTCTTACAGCACAAACTTACCTGGGCATTTTGTAAACAGCAAATGCAAAACTATAGTCACATATCTGTTGTTTTCCTTATGTCCTTAAGAGTTTTTTATTAATTTGACATGGTCTCCTTGCTGTAGATGGGAAAGTTTACTGTGAGTTATTAATAGTCACCTCTCCAGTAGATAGGTAACAAGTTGAGTTGTTTTACTGGTGGCAGTTAGGCAACATAATTAGCAATAAGCACATAAGCAATTCTGCAGGGTGACATTAATTCTGATACATTTAGTCACTTGGAAACATGGGTACTTATTAACTACTAACATTTCCATGTGATAAGCATTCTGTTTGGTTTGTTTCTTTACTTGTTCTCTGAACTGTAAAAGTATCTGAAGCCATTATTTCTGAAAATGCCTGAAATCATTATTTATGAACTCTCAAATGCATTGTTCCTTCTGTTTTCCTTCATGCCTACACAATACTTAGTGGGAAATTCCCAGCATGTCTATAACTATGTATAGGTTTGTTATGATAGAAATTGGCTCCAGGTCTTTCATCATTATAAATTGTCTATTCTTTTGTGGATTTTTGTTTTACTTTTTTTTTTTCTTGGTTCAGCTGTAACATAAGAAGTAACTTTGTGTTTGGTTCTTTACTAAGAAGATTATTTAATATTAAATAATTTAATATTAATAAAATAATTAATTTAATAATAATAAAATATAGTTATTTAATATTAAATAATTTAATAGTTATTTCTGATCAGAAATAATTTTATTCTTACCACAAATGATACAATGAGCATATAAGTGTTGGGGCACTTGATACTAAACTAATTAAACCCACAGTTAAGTTAGAGGGAATATGAACCTTGATCTCATTGTATGAGTGTTAGTGTTTTTGCTATCACACCCATGTCTCTTACTGTTCCACTGTCATGTAAACCAGACCGTAAGTGTTAGTATCTGTAATGTACTTTTGATCCTTTGTTCCCTAAGCCAAACTTGTTTGGCAGAACAGATGATCTAGCAGGATTTTCATCACCTTTGAGAATCTGTTTAAAGCAAAAGTGTTCCATGTAGTCACCTCTACTTTTAATTGAAACTTGTAGTATGGTAATATAGCACTGAGGTTTATTGCCTTTGAATGTCTGAAGGTTTGATTTTCTGTGTCTRTAGGGTGTACTGACAGACTCTTCCCATGATAGAAATTTGAAGAGTTGCTACCTAGAGCTGTATATATTTCCAGAGCCATACCACGTGTATCTGTGCTTGTTTTGGCAAGGCAGTCAGCTATTAATTTTTTTTTTAGTTAGTGTTGTTCATACCACTGCTGTATAGCCATAACAATTGCAAATACTGAGAAAGGGAAATTATGCTTTAGAAAGTGTTTCTAAGTGTTGACATGTGGTTTTACACTATTTGTTGGTTTTTCACTCATCCCCTGGCCATCAAAACAGGATTGCCATGAGACTTAAATGCTTTTAGGGAACTGGAGGAAAGTAATTTCTGTGTGTAGTAATTAATTACTAACATTTTTGGGTTTGAATATTAGGGAGTAAAAGAAACAGTATCCTTAACTGACATTAAATAGAAACTGAATTGTAGAGCCAGCTGGCTCAGCTGTTAGCATATGACAGAACAGTGGGAATTGAACCAGAAAACRCTTCATGAGGTTACTGTAACCTTGAATTCATGGCAATAATTTTAATGGGTCGGTGCTGTTCATCCCTTAGAGAAGGGAGTAGGATACAGAGGGAGAAGCTCTTAAGAATTTTCCATGATTATTTCTCAATTACATAAATAGTCAAAAAATAGAAAACTTCTTCTGGAGACGGTTCTTGTTGCCTTGTATAGATTAGAAGTGTAATCCAACACTAGTGGAAAATACAGGTTTTACTGGTTAATTCTTTTTAACAGATCAACAATTTTCTTTTTCAGGTCGGAAGTTGAAAAAGTTTAACAAAATTAAGGTTGTGAGAACATTAGATGTTGCACTCCAGCAGCCAGCAACCCTACAAGATGAAAGCCAGTCTCTAACCCAAAGGCTGTCCTTTTCTCCAAATCAAGAAATACAGTTTGTTCCCCCAATGATAAGTGTTTTACGAGGCATTGAGCCAGAAGTTGTCTATGCTGGTTATGACAATACAAAACCTGAAACACCAAGTTCCTTGCTGACCAGTTTGAATCATCTTTGTGAGAGGCAACTTCTTTGTGTGGTCAAGTGGTCTAAATTGCTACCAGGTAATATAATTTCTTATATGTAGTGAATTGTAGTTAAGCAGCTATTTCATGGTATGAGCAGTCTGAAGAGCATATTATTGATTGTCTGTTAATTAATTCTTTACAAATTCCAAAACTACTAAGTTTTTCCACTTACCACATAATGTAATTAATCAAATACATTTTGATAGGGAGGCACATTTGAAGGAATCCACCCAAATGTTTAGATTCACTTGAAGAAACCACAGGAGCTCAGAGAGTTCCTTTATGTGATTGTTATAGCAGTCTTTCTACCTCAACCCCTCTTACTCTATTACTCATTTGGTGTAAGAAAAGTTGTGTTTCTGCTTATTCTTTAWTCTTATTATTACTAAAATGAATTTTTGAAAGCAACAAAGAGCAATTTTAAAAAATAGCACCAGTTAAGACTGAGCAGCTCACAGTCTGGTAATGAGAAGTAACCAAATTTATGAAGATTCACAACTGGATTAAAAAAGAAAATCCATGTTATGTATGTATGTGTGCTGTATGGTTGTAGGGATCATTGTGGTCATCCTGGGATATATAGAAATCAATATACTGAGCAGAAAGCCTGGAAAATGCAGGTTCATGTGAACTCAATTTGCCCCTTTGTGCTTCAGGAAACAGCAGCAAAGTACTCTCTATCACTGCTCTCCTGTTGCAGTTGGTGCTTATCAGACCTGTTGGGTGAATCGATGCATCTCACTAAATGAGAAGAAAAGAAACCTTTTTACCCTCTGTAGTTCTTTGGTGTCTTTATGAATTGAACTAGTTCACTGAGGAGTAGCATGAATGCCAAAGCATGCTTGAAGGAGGTAACAGGACCATGTAATGAAGAACAGGAATGCTGCTTTCAGTGGCAGGAARCTGTTCGACTCAAATAATGCATGGCAATCTTCAAATTTATCAAACAGCAAAAGTTACCAAGCACAAGCACACAACTGAATATCCTCCTCTTTAGCTGRATGCAAGAAAGGTGTTCATATATGGATGTTTTTGTATGATAGCTGCATCTCATGTTAAGAACAGCGATGTTCAAGCTRTGGACATTAAATGAGAGTTGGTTACACTGATCATGTTACAAACTGTCACATTTTTACCAAAGGAAAATGCTAAGCATTCCTATTCTCTGAAATAGTAATTTTTGTAAAAACAGAGTTTGGTTTGAACATTTCAAAATATTGGATCAAAACAAAATGACAAGAGGTTAACTATCAAAGTGAGATAGGCAGTCATTACCCAAACTGTAATGTATCTGGAGCTACATCCCCAATACTGCTTGTGTTTCCAGTTGTTCTCAGTTTGACAGTTCGAATTTGTAATCTCAAAACAATTACTTAGCTCTGTCTAAATGAGAATTATGAAATATTTTGTCTTCTAATTTAATTTCCAGGTTTTCGGAATTTGCATATTGATGATCAGATAACCCTCATCCAGTAYTCCTGGATGAGTCTGATGGTGTTTGCAATGGGATGGAGATCATACAAACATGTCAGTGGTCAGATGTTATATTTTGCACCAGACCTGATTCTAAATGAGTAAGTAGACTCTATTGTTGCATTATATGAATAACATTTTGAACTTACATGTGCCAATCGGAATGTGACTCCATTGAGGCCAAGATTTCATTCGTAACTGTTCTTTTTCAAAACTGACAGGAGAGCAAAGTCCTCTGACCATATCAAACTTCAGTAACTTTGTGGGAACCCCAGCTATTCTATTTATATGTCATTTTATTTACATGTTCAAGCAAAAGCAGTTCAAATAGTATTTTAATTACTTAAGAGAAAAATAGTAATAATAAATAACAATTATGCTGTCGGAAGATTTACCTGAATTCATGTGAATAAGACAYGAGTTAATGTTTACTAAATGGAACTGAGTGGGATTTTTTTCCCGTTGTTTTTGCAAGTAGTTTGCATATGATCTAAATGYTCAGTTTTGATGCTTTCTGATAAAAATGATTTTCTAAAGTGCATTTCTTGCTRGAAAAGTACATTTGTTGTTAAAAAATGGTAAAAAATTTCACCAAGAAGGAATTTCAATAACAAGGAGAAAAATATGCGGGACAGCTGTTTTCTGCTGGGGTAGGGGAGGGGCTTTTTTGCTTGGATTTTCTTTCACCATGCTGTTTAATTTAGATAATCATCATTTCAGTCTTTGTCACTTTTCCAGCTCTGCAAATTAATATTGTCAGACTTGTAATTTTAGACACTGGTTACAGTACATGGGTGGTTGCCAAGAACAGTAAAACATTATTTAATCTCTTTATATTTATTATTCCTTGGTACATTTTTCTTAGTTTTTTTTTCTTAAAATACTAAAAGAACTGCTGTGAAGCAACTTGGAAGTTAAACACATGCTGTTTAAGTCTTAAAAAACACATACTGTTTAAGGGTTAAGAATTGGATTTGCTGAACATTTAGACACCTGATTTTAATATCTATAGACATACAAAATCCTCCCAGTGAAGTTCTTCATCGAAAATATTTAGTGGAACCAGCCTTGTAGCTCGTGACCTTTTCTCTTCCAGATGATTGTAAATCACTGTGAGGTTATTGAGTAATGAATTCTTTCCTTTCCCATTTGTATTCATTGTCCTGTACAAATTGAAGTACTTAGAAGTGATGAGATTGAARGAACTTYTGACTATATGGTCCCAGCATAGTCTGATACATCTTATGGGTACATTCAGAAAAAACACAGGGTGAGATGACTTTATGTAGTAATGTCATGTCTTGTAGTATCACCCTTCTTGTCGACCATTGCTGACACTTTGTGAAGAAGACTTGAAGTACTTTCTTCGACAAGAGGGTTGAGATTTATGAACCCTGATTATAATCCACCAGGGACAGCTTCTTATTGTCAGCACAAGATCGTCTGCACTGGGTGCTGACAACATATTCCTCTCTTGGATATGGAACATCTCATCAGGGTCATATTAGAAATGTTATAAACAAGGAGACATGAAGAGTAACTGACGCACCAAGTCATTGCTGCAACTATTGGGAAATAAGTTAGCTTTTAGGTCAGTGAAATGCAAACAACTTTGTTGTCTACAGTTGTATCTAAGATTGTACCTTCATGTTAACTTGAAGCAAAGATAACTGCTGAACACTGCCAGAAATGTTAACTCTCCTGTTCACACACCCCCATGATTTCAGCTAAGCTGGATCAAAGACTGTCTGAYTGCACTGTCAGATAAGCAGTTTATATTCCTGAGAGGTACCCCAGAAAAAGCCATTCATTAGTARGTGGAGGTGATCCCTGACCTGACTCACCACGAGGGAGTGCAGGCACTAATGCCAGAATCACAGGAGTGTAYGCCTAGAGGTAGAGATAGTGGGAAATCCTTCTGCAGGGGAAACACCCACCTTAGTTTCATAATTACCATAAAACYACAATCCAAAGACTAAATTACAGCCAATCTATCATTTAGTGAACTGAGTTGTTATGCTTCTCTGGAAGGATGTATTTTGTAGCATCAATTTCAGACCAAGAAAGCTGGGAGTCTTCCTTTGACAAAGATTTCACCCTATAGTATTAGCACCCTATAAGGACTTAACTGTGGCTTGTGCTTTGCAGTGTCTGAAAAYGTGAGTAAGAACAGCATTTAAACTGCTAACGCTGAAAGCAGCTGTTGCTCTTTGTAGATAATAATTAAGAAGAGATGCTACCAGAAAGTAATAGAAAAGGAGATTTAAACTAGATTTAGTAACAAACCCATTCAGGTCTAAAAGATTAAATTCCTATGTTTATGTCATTTAAGGGTTGAGATACCAGATGTTGAACAACATTGAAACAATTTTCATTCACTATAGCAGCAATGCTTTAAATAACAAGAAAAAAAAACAAAAAAACAATGCATTGAAAAATGTCTTTTTTTAAATGGCAAGTGTCTTCTGTTTTCATTGCTGAGGTTGCTATCTGCAGTCAGGTTGGAATGCTGATCTGAAACGCCTAGCAGGTGGGAGAGCAAAATTTTATCTTCCTCTTGTTGTTATACCTAATTTATCAGGATKGGGATACAATCTTTTAAAACACTCCAAGTTACTGGATCCTCAGGTTAACGTGCAGTGAGTTCAGTCTAGATTAGAAACTAGGTAATGCTATTGTTGCACTGATTTCAGTCATAAATGCAATATATGTAATARTGTATACTCAGTGTATCAAAATCATAAAGAGAAAAGTAGTATCAAAGGGCTGCAAAGGACCCTACAGTTTTATGTATTTCTTGTGTGATTTGTTCTGTTAACTTCTGTGGAGGTTCAGGAAAGGCTGCATTAATGTCTCTGTTTACTTGCCATGTAACATTTTTTAACTGTTCCTTTAATGGCWTAACATGCTACAAAATAATATAATTGCTATTAAAAGCACCAAGCTAAAGTTGCTATAAAGTATTTTGATGCAGACGTTTTTGAAAAAGTTAAGAACAAATTTTCTATAGACTTTCAGGTTTGTCTTCAATTCTATACTTTGAAATCTTTACAAAGATCCAAGAATCTATCAATTTCTGTATAAAACAAAATAGTGTTTCACATTAATCATTAGGTTCTTTTTAATAATAAAGTGCCCTTATTTTTGTGTCTAGCATTCAGCTTTGATAGTCTCCAAGTTTTCTTATTTTTCTGGACAGCATTAACAGATTAAACATCCAAAATAATAGCACATTTATGGCAATTGAAAAACCAGCACAGGTAGAAAAAAATCAGAAAAATGTTTATGTGTATAATCTCATCTTTAATTTTTGTAATGTTATAATTAAACTGCTAACAAAGCATTTCTTCCAAGCAGTTAGTACTGGAACCATTTTTTTYCTTTGTTTTCATGTTTTTTTAATATTTTTTTTTTTACCTTTTCTGGGTGTAAGACAGAGGATGAAAGAATCATCATTCTATTCCCTGTGTCTATCCATGTGGCAACTCCCACAGGAATTTGTCAGACTTCAAGTTAGCCAAGAAGAGTTCCTATGCATGAAGGCACTGTTACTTCTCAAYACAAGTAGGTTCTTTTATTTCTTTGTAACACATCACTACTAAAAGAGTTTTCAACCATAKTGTTTAACTTGACAATCACTAAACTCTCTGGCTTAACAAGTGGAAATGTCCTAGGAGACATGTTAGTATTCCAAGACTTAAAAATACTTTTTTCTGATGTTTATAAGGAACAGAGAATTTGTGATTAATTGTTGGTTTTATTGTGTGTACAGACACTAGGGAAATGCCGGATCCTTTTTGACATACAGCCCTACTATGTTACACATTTTCAAAACAACTTTGCAGTATTTCTGCCTGGAAACATCAGTTCAAGTGACTTTACACAGATTAAAAAAAATCCATCCAAACCAAAATAACCTTAWAAGTATTAGAATATATTTAAAAGTATTTAATAAATTATCAGGACTGAGGGCTTTATCTTGACAAAGATCTTAAAAGATCTTTGCTGAAAAGAATTAGGGAATTGGACATGACAAACAATACTAGCATTTATTCAGCTTTTTTGTGGTTATAAATAGGTGAAGCTTAGCACAGATCTAAACAAATGGGAATGTTTTTCTTTGGTTTGTTTCTCTGGAAACAAAATTCGTGGTCACTTTCAATGATACGCATCATTTAAAGAATGCATTCCACTTCATCTAGGAAACGTGGTAGTCAATGAACTTACCTTCCAAAACCTTCTTTGAAATACTAAAAGTTCAAGTAATTGATAAGGAATTAAAATTTATTCCCTCTCAATTGGTACTTGCCTGGTATCTGCATAAGCCCATTCTTAAAAAAAAAACCAATTGGTCTCAGCAGAGCATAAATTCAAAAAGATCACATTCAGCTCATATGAACATAGAAATTACTAAAAGAATAGCAAAAATACCATACATTGTGCTAAAGTGGTAAAGGTAATGTGGATAAAAATCCCTCTCTGATATAACTCCACTTGCTTTGTTGGAATCTGAATGTATTCCTGTTTCAAATGTTTTTCACCTTATTTTCATCCCAAATGAACTCCCTTGTCTATCTCCTGAAATTTCAGTTACATTTAGGTAAATTTTTGGTATTCCAACTATCTGTTGCAGCTCAAAATCAAAAAAGCATTACACTGGTTTGTCCAATCCCTTTTATTTGAMTGCATCAGTTTAATAGAATTCATCAAACTATCATTTATGAACTGTGTTGCACTCAGAAGCTATTTTTCAAGGTTATGTGTTTAGATATTCATGTATATGCAAGAAATTARTTGGAAAAAATTAATGTATTTCTACCTGTTCTGATGAGTTTTGCTTTTTGTTCTCTCCTGCATTTATTGKTTTATAGGCAAAAACAATTTGTCAGCTCTTCGGGAAAAGGAATGCATCTTAACAATTGTTGCTGAGGCATTTAGTAAATGTTTGGTACTGTATAAGTACAATTCCATGAAAGTATTTTCAAAAAGCCATATAACATCATTGTTTCTCTGAAATGTTTTTTTAAGACTACTTTTATTCGTCATGATACTCATCTTAATCCTCTTCAAATGTGAAAGTACAGCCATTTCAGGCTTTTGTATACTAACAGTAAATCAMGTCTAATCCTTTAGTCTCTCATTGTGTCTTCTGTTCAATTTATTATTTAGATGAACTGTCTTTGACTTTCATAGATAATTGCAAAGAAATAGGAATTTGTGTTAAAATGTGTGTCAGTCTCGATACATTTCTAATTCTGAATGGACCCCCAGCCTTAGATTTTAACATTATATTTGATTTTACAGKTTTTTTCTTTGAGTATGCTGTGGCTTAAATGTAATGCTTTCCAGACCTTCTGATTTAAAGGAATTTCTAATCTTGTTACATAAGATTTTGGCTCAGTACGTACCACTGAATAAAAGCATCCTCATTCTTTACGTATGTTCAGGGGAAGGGAACAGCCAAGAACAGTTTTTTGCCCATGTAAGACACTGTAATTCTTCACTCAGATAGCTCAGAGGAACTTTTTTGTCATTGACAGGAATGTGGCTGTCTTTTTGCAGAATTCTGACAAAACAGGCCATTCATTGATGGAAGATACCTTTTAAATCAGTTCACAKGGAAAATATAAAGAGTTAATCGCTGGTTTAGAGATGTAAGTCAAGGATAACTTACATCTAACCCTGAACTCGATCAAAGTTTTCTTTCTATTAAAACAGTCCKTAGTTCTTTTTGAAAATGCTGTTAATAAATGTCCAAAATCATCCAAGCTTTGAAAATTAGGCTGTTCTTTTTCCGTGACACTATCTTCTTACTAGCAGCCGCTAACAGGTTCATTTCTCAATGTCCTCTTCTCATTTTGATCCTCACAACTGACCTTAAGAGAAAAGGGGGTTCAACCAATTTCTCCTCCTTGCTTATTTTTCTAGAAAGCTGTTCACCTTCAAGAATCTGATCTGCTTTGTTAAGTGAAAGAGGTTCAAACTGGAGGCCTGAGTCCTGGAAGCTTTACTGTCTACCCTGCTTTAGAATTGTTAGTTCATTCCTTGAGTCCATTTTGAAGCACTCCAGCTAGATCTCTCTGATAAATTTACTGTGAAGAGGGCTGACTCTCAGCAGTGTAAGCATGAAGTGGTCCATAATATATTTCATCAAAGGCAGGAGTGGTTCTTTTAGCCATATATATTTTTTTTCTTTTAGCAAACACATATAGCTGAAGCTTAGGCATATTTCTAGACACAGGCAATTAGCAAAATTGCTGATTGTTGCTGGTATATCCTCATAATTAATTGTATCACTGTTTCTAGAATAACTCTTGAATGGGAAGAAGTACCTGGCACATAATAATGAATTACACTGTGCAGCATGAAATACTGTAAATTTTCCTGTACTTTAAATTGTTTTCATTCCCTTCATAGTAAATTCTACCTGAAGTGTTAACTTTTTTTTTTTTTAGTTCCTTTGGAAGGTCTCAGAAGTCAAAGCCAATTTGATGAGATGAGAACAAGTTACATCAGAGAACTGGTGAAGGCAATTGGCTTGCGCCAGAAAGGTATTGTGGCCAACTCACAGCGTTTCTATCAGCTTACAAAACTGATGGATTCCATGCATGATGTAAGTTTATTTGCTAATGTGTTTTGCTTTTTATGGAAGAAGATACTAGTATTTCCTAAAAGTACTTTTATGGAAAGGAGTAGTCAGCATTGCTAAACAATGGAAGAAAACAACAAAACATTTTCCCTTTATTATTTATATTAGTGTGAATAGATAGCTATATATTCATCATCAGTATAAATATTGTGCATATATTTTATGGTATACAGTATGTAAGTATTTGTGAAACATGCATTAGAGTGCTACCATTTTGCTTCATTTTTGGTGCAACATAACCTGTAGCCACAGCTGTGGGCTTTGGTAGGGGTGGTATGTATGTGTGTGTAAGCATGTGTATGCTTGTTCAGGAAAATAATGTGAGAAATACATTTGCAATTCAAGTTACAAAGTCAGGCTACTAAGAACTAGAGAAAGGCAATGAAGATTGGCTTTGCAACCTTAATTGAACTGTTTGTGTGTATATATTCTATACCACTTTTTCAGTCTCTGTCTATGTTTGGGAATTGAGTAATATTTGAGAATTCTAGATACCAAGCCCTGGACACTTGAGCTCAGTGTTGGCTGTGAAGAACTCACAGGGAGTTTGGAGTGGACAGGATTTTTGCTTCGTTGTATTCTTCATCACTCAGCAAATCTGCATTTTATTTTAATYCAATCTCTTAATTTCTCTTAATAAAAATGCATAAAACAAAATAATGGATGAGGGAGGGAAAGAGGGAGGGAGGCTTGCTGCAAAATAGCAAAGTGATATTTGGTCCATAAAGTACCTTTGTTCAAGTCCCTGTTTCCGCTCATGCTGGTGAAGGGATGTGAGATGCAAGGAAGAGGTAGATTGTCACACTGGAGAGAGGGTGTGGCATTAAAGCCTAGGGTAGCAGAAACAGTGTGATAATTGACACCATAATGGTCACTGGTCTGGAATAAAAGTTGGAACCTCTCAGAGAGGCTAGAAGAGATGAAATAGTCACGTGCTGAGCAGTTGCGTTCAAGGGATGAGGGACTGTGGAGTTCAGTGTCTTCAGCATCTCCAGATATGATCATAATCAACACCATGGCAAAGCTCAGAGGTGAACAAAAAATGCTTTCCCTCAGAGCAGTGTTTGAACAGCACCTAGATAATCAAGCACTGACTTGTGTTTAGCGTGTGAGAATACAATGGAAGGTTGAATACTTCTTAAGTAGCTGCCATTGTTCATCACATATGACATGAGCGAGAGTGATACTACTTTATAATATTAGTGAAGCAGTATTTTTATATGACATGCCATAAGCTGTATATGTATGATTTTTGCCATTAATAGGGAATGACAATTACCCTCACTATTGATTCAAGAAATGACAGAGTAAGGTATTGAGTGATGTCAGCTGATGAATGAATWAGTGATTGACAGCATTTTTATGTGATGGCATTACTGTTACCCTGATTGATCATGTTTGTATTTTATTAAATCCAGCTGGTGAAACAGCTCCATCTCTTCTGTTTGAACACATTTCTCCAGTCCCGTGCACTGAGCGTTGAATTCCCTGAGATGATGTCAGAGGTGATTGCTGCCCAGCTACCCAAGATTTTAGCAGGGATGGTGAAACCTCTTCTCTTTCACAAGAAGTGAAATGTCTTTTCTCTTATCATAGAGATGATTTTTGGGTTATTTTTTGTTTGTTTATTTTGGTCAAGATTTTGCAATGTTAGCAACTTCAGCATATTTGACATAATTACCCTGCCAACTGCTTTGTACCTGTAACATACACGAGCCATTCAAGCTTGTTGTACATATTGTGAGTTCTTGATTCCTTAACTGCAAAAATCACAAGAGTCATAAGAAATGTTTTGTAAASTTGTCTAGGCTGCTTTTTAGGTATGCATATGAATTCAATGAATTGACTTTCCAAATTTCTAACAACAGTTACACATTTCTCTTACACGTTCTCGAATTTCTGGTATGACATGGTGCAAAATTTTTACTTTGGTACGTTATRTGCATGGGTACATGTGGGCATGTGCATAATATAAGATTTTGGAGGAATTAAAATAAATRCTGCCCACATTTTCTTATGGATATTTCACTTTTTAGTACTTCAATGCCATCACGAGTAACTAAAGTGCCAGGCACACAATCTACTTTCRTAATCTCATCTGTGATTATGTTGCATTGAAACTCTGAGTCCACCATATTGTTTTCTAGAGAATTCAGTGGAGGTCTCCTTCAAAAATCAAAAAGCTTAGGAAAATTTCAGTGTGTATTACACCAGAAGTAATGTGTATGCAACCCCACTAAGCTTTGGTTTGTGTTATTTTTCCTTAAAAGTTCAGCACTTACTAAAGCTAAATCACTTAGCTGTAATCTTAAATTCATCAGTTTTAACATTCTGTATTTCAGAAGCTTTAAATAGAGATGTGTTCACTGACTTCAACTCTTAATAATCTTAATGTTTTGAATTCCAATGCTGAACACTGAATCAGCCATTAGCATCAAATTATAGTGAGATTAGATGCAAAAAAGAAATGGAAAATATGATCAGAGTCATTTCAGTACAATTTAGTGGAGCTCCATATTTTATATTTTGAAAGCATGCCACTATAATTGGGGTAACTGTAAAAAGGGAATTGGACTAAATTAGCTTTATACATTCAGGAAGAATGGCATGTTTTACCATGAAAATGAATATTTGACTGAAAAATTATAATGTGGTGGTGTTTGTTCCTTTGATATGGTAATGAAGCAACTCATGCATTTAAGGCTGTAAATTGTACATGCAAAACAGATAAACCTTTAGAAGAATTTATGAGTCTATTAAAACATGACAAATTTTGCCAGTTGCTAGAAATGATACGTAAACATAGGAAATGATGAGTCTTCTTTGGGTACTTGCTGGCCTTACGCTTTTGCTTTTCCCCATGMTTTCTTAGATGCTCCCACTGTGTGACTGTGTCCTGCTGGTGGTGCATAGCTGGGTCTGTACAGACTTATCCTTGTCATGTGAACAAAGACCCCWGGGATATAAATTCAGTATCCCTGGTTAAATCAGGGTGCCCTCACTAAAACTGTAAGTGATGTTGCTTTTTGATAAAAATTACATCTTGGTTCTTGAAAAAATTTTGGACAGCTGACAAGTGAAGGTGTTCTTACTGCTCATTATTTCCTAAAGCCAATGAAGAAGAAGCTACATTGCAACTGGGAATAAAAATGTTTTTGAGATCTCCACATAGTAGTACAAAACCCACTAGAGCTGGTGCAAATATGTAGCCTGGATAAAGTGGTATAGACAGAGTTTTGTGTTAGCTGACTAAGTTTCTCATTTCTAACTGCCCAGGTWAGCAATGTCTTTCATATTCAATACAGTCTGACTTTTAACTGTGATCCTTAAAGCAATTATGTTTTAATAAATAGCACAAAATTCTTTATTTCTACATCCTGAAGTTTTGTTTTCTTTATTTYATGTTTGCATTCAGTAAAGTTGATGCTGAGTAAAAAAGTCCATTTCAACCATTCCACTTTCATGTAACAACATTTCCATGCATTCTTTTGGAATGTAAGTATTGCCACATGATTTACCACTGTGTACAGACTGTCTATGTTACTGTTTAGATTAAACTGATAACAGAAACTTCCCACACTAAAAATTACTGCTCCTCACCCTAATTCTGAAATTAGAGGACAGAGCAGGCAGTATATTTGCCTTAGGAATGCAGGGATCTGCCTACATCTGCCTTTTACTCAAACCCTAAGTGGCTGACATGTCACCATGTCCTGTAAACATGGAAGATTAGTCTGAAAGGCACTATATTTGTCTCAAAGGCATAACCAAAAAGGAAGAAAATGTATCTTTCGGGAATAGCTAACAAAGGTTAAAAACATTTTCAAATTGTATTTCTTAAAGATCTCTAACAGAAAAAAATTACCAGAACTCCATAGCCATGATAAATGCATTACACAAGATAGAAGTGATTGGCTAATTGTGGCTGCGGTAAGAGTCTGAAAGTCCTGTGATTTTTATGTGATTGTATGAAGTTCAACAAAAATTTGAGAATTTCCAACTTTTAACCCAGTTTATTAAATGGCCTTTAGTGTCCATTTTAATATTCTCATTTGCTCTGGGTTACACAGACACCATGAACAGTGGAAAAGGACGTGGAGGTGCTGGTTGACAGTGGCAGAACAKGATCCAGTGTGTGCCCAGGTGGCCACRAAGGCCAGTGACATCCTGGCCTGGATCAGCCATGGTGTGGCCAGCAGGACCAGGGCAGTGACCGTCCCCCTGTACTCAGCACTGGAGAGGCCACWCCTCRAATCCTGTGYTCAGTTYTGGGCCCCTCAGTGCTGGAAAGACATTGAGGGGCTGGAGCGTGTCCAGAGAAGGGCAGCGGAGCTGGGGAAGGGTCTGGAGCACAAGTGCTGTGAGGAGCAGCTGAGGGAGCTGGGGGTGTTTGGCCTGRAGGAAAGGAGGCTCAGGGGGGACMYTGTCACTCTCTRCAACAACTGAAAGGAGGGTGCAGCCAGGTGGGGTCGGTCTCTTCTCTCAGGTAAYGAGTGACAGGAGAGAACATGGCCTCAAGCTGTTCTAGAGSAAGTTCAGGTTGGGTATCRGGAAGAATTTCTTCATTGAAAGGCTGRTTAAGCATTGGAAGGGGCTGCTCAGGGAAGTGATGGAGTCACCATCCCTAGAAGTGTTCAAGAAATGACTGTACTTAATTCTACGCTTTAGTTGACAAGGTGGAGATCAGTCAGACCTTGAATTCAGTGATCTTGGAGGTCTTTCCAACCTAAATGATTCTGATTCTATGAACACTGATCAAAATACCTGATTGCTGCGTTCCATACAGGAATCTTGTGTACTATGACTTTTCAACCCTGCAGCAATGTTCAGACCTGTTACTTAATTTTTTTACTGAGTACAAGGTTTTATAGTTGTATGTRTTTCTCTCCATTAATACTTCTTGAAAGATCAAAACATTTTTGACCTGAGCTTTACAAATAGATCTAAATAAACATCTTGTAGTGCTTCTCAATATATTGAAYAAGATAAAACAGTGCTGGATCTTCTTATATTGCATTTGCACRCTAGAAATAAGAGGTTTCAGCAGATGGACTTGTTTTCTGACATTTAGGATGTGCCTGATTACATTCTAAAGGTATGAAACCTGTTGTACCAATTAGAAAGCTTGCCAGCCATCTTCTACAGGTTTTTGTTTCAAGCTATCAGTAAAAGTTCTTCATATAGCAAATAGGGCAGGCTGTGSCAGAAGCTAAGCCTCTCCTGTTTTGTACAGTTGAGGTATTTTTGAGTCAAGCCCTGCAGCATTACCTTCTGCTAGTGCTTGACTGAAGCAAACAAACRAACCCATGAAGTCCTTTGCTGCTGTGATTCAACTCTGTAGAGGCATTGTATTTATAGTTTTTAAATRTTTGGGAGGTTGAAGTGCCTGGCTGTGGCAGCCCACCTATGTTTGGAGTGCTGAGAGCTCCAGCCTCAGCCAGCTGCTCTCTTTGCCTACGAGCTGCTCCACAATTGTGCTCGCTGTGGTCCAAGAAATACAAAAGATCAAACACTTGGCTCATGTTTTCAAAGATCTCAGCTGGATCAGTTTTTACCACTCTTTAGGAATGGGGRGATGTGGGTTCGTTAATACGTAGTCTGTGGCAGAGTGATGTGTGCTCTGAGAAAGTTTTCAAATTGATTTCATGGGACTTTAGAAAGGCCTGGTTTTATCTGTGAGTAATAAACACACARTAATTTCTGATCTGCAGCTGTTCCTTCAGCTGCGGTTATTCTTTCTGCAGCAGAGAAAGTGAGACTTAAATTTGTGTTTTCTGACCAGTCAGTACCTTCTTAGTACCTTAGTTTTTTTCTTTCTTTCCTTTCAAGCAGAGTAATAGGTCTCTCTACTATGGGGAAAGTAAGCTGCTTTCCTGTGCTCCTACCCACACCCAAATACTCATCTCAGTTACCACTGATGTATCAGTAGCACAAACAGCAGGAATCCTGCAGGGATCCTTCCTTCCTGTCCTCTCCTACCTGCTCAAACTCAAGGCTGGTTTATCTGCAGATCAGGTGAGGACRGGGCTGCACTCCACCCGTGCAACTCCAAGCACGCATTTCTTGCCTTASATGCTGTTTGTGGCAGGCTGACCTTTCTTTCCTTCCCAGAAGTCAGCTTGCAGCCGCAGAGCTAATATCCAAAGCTCTCCCAACTTTCCATGGCTCAGAAGCCTGTGTGCATACTGCCAGGCTGGACTGTCAGCATTGCTGGATTTATTGGTTTGTACTGCTTTGTGTCATGGTGACCTGACTTGAACAGAGATTTGCTTTTAGTTTAGTTCTCTTTTTCCCTTGGAAGATGAAAAGGAAAAAAAAACTCTAATATTTTAGGTATTTTTTGTTTTAAAATTTATGTGGGTTTTTTTTCACTGAATGCTGTTAATTTATTAGATTGACATTATTTGCATACAGAATGAGACTGTAGCTTCTCAGATGCTTGGAGAGAAACACGCAGCAAAAGGTGACTGCATGGATATTAATAACTCAATTAAAATTTATCTGTCTGTTTACCTTAAAGAGAAAACAAATAACCCTAAGAAAACAGTCCTTAAGTACTGTTGGAACTAATGCAGCAGTTGAATCATTTTGAATACATGAGCTGTGCTACTCCCTTGATGTATTTTTTTGCTCACATTCAGGAGTTTTTTTCCCTGGGTTGAGCCCACAGTGCTCTGCACGAGCCATCTAAAGCATATATAAAGGATATCCAGATAATGGTGCACTTTAATTCTAGAATATCCTTTAAAACTGGCAGCATTTCAATTTCTTGCCAGTATGGGGTGGGCTCATTATAAAAATACCATCCCGAGCCTTTTAGTCAYAGATCATGTTTGTCTGACCATGAAAACTAAGTTACCTTTTCACCTCTGTGGGCACAATAGTTC